CTCTCTCTTCCTCCCCCCATCTCTGTCTCTCTGTCTCTCTCTCTCCTCTCTCCCTCCCCCCCACACACACTCCCCTGCTCCTCCTCCTCCTCCTCCCCCTTTCAGTTCTGGAAGCCAGAAATCTGAAATCAAGATATCAGCATATCAGCAGAGTTGTCCTCCCTCTGAAGCCTCCAGAGGAGGACCCTTCCTTGGCTTCTCTAGCTTCTGGTGGCTGCTGGCAATCTCTGGCTTTCCTTGAGTTGGGGCCACATTGCTCCAATTCCTGCCTATTACTGGCCTTCTCTCTGTGTCTGTGCCTTCACATGATGCTCCCTATTTTTATAAGGACACAGTCATGTTTGATTAGAGCTCACCCTCATTTTTTAGTATAACCTATCTAAACTTGATTATGTCTGCAAAGATCCTCTTTCCAAAAATAGGGTCATATCCACAGGTACCAGAGGTTAGAACTTCAACATAACATTTAAGGAGGACACAGTTGAAACCATAACAAAGAGCAGTATGATTTTTTTAACATAAAAAAAATCAGATTTCAGACTTCTGGCCTCCAGAACTGAGAGGGAGAGGGGGAAGAGGAGGGGAGGGAGAGAGGGAGAGAGAGAGAGAACATTTCTGTTGTTTTAAGCCAACCAACTGTGGTACTATTTAAAATCAGTCCTAGTAAACTAAACAAGTAGTCAATAAATGTACTTACTCAAATAATAGCCAATATTGGATCAAATAATAGCCAATATTGGATCAAATAATAGCCAAAGTATGCATTTTATACCACGTGCATCACCCGTCTGAATTACTAAATTTTAATTTTGCCACTTGCCTGCTGCTGGATAACTAAAATCCTATTCCCAGTTACCTTGACTGAAGATGTCATCACAAGTTTTCTGGTCTGTGTCATCTTTGGGCTCACAAGGAATGGCGGCAGATTTTAACCACAGTGTTCTGTGATGACTGAGAACCACTGGACTGACCATTTCTATTCCTGCAGCCCACAGCCCCAGTGAAGACTTCAGTGGGAATAATAAGCATCAAAGCTCACCATCATCCTCCTCCCCCTTCCCCAGGCATGTGGAGTAATAATGTTTAGAGCCTTCGAGGTAGTTGTAGTCATTGCTGGAGGACCGGGTTTGGTGCATTTGAAAGGAAGCTCACAAAAAGGGGGAGTTTCAAATTCTTCTCCAAAGCATGGCACCAGTAATTTATACTTGGAATCCAGTACTTAAGGCTCATTCTTATTCCGTGTTGGGGCCTTTATTTTGATCCAGGGATGGAAGCACCTGCTTCCTTACTGGGGAGGGAAATCCACTGTAACTCTTCAAACCAAGGGAGGTGTGCACCAGCTGCTGAAGGCCATGCACACTCAGGGACATGTCGCCACCTTGCTCATGGCGAGGATTTCAGGTCCCCTCTGGAATCTCCAGCCAAATGCCTGACATATGATAGGTGCCCAATTAGTGTGTCAAGTGAGTAGGTGACCATAAAGGTTGTTCTCTGATACTTAACCAAATAGTGCTAGAAATTGCCACTTCTGGAATTCAGCAATACCGTTTTTAATTTTATAAGTTGCCTATCCCAAGTAACTGCACTAAGATTAAATAAGGATTCTGGGTCATCTTAGATTTACAGACAGTTTTAGATTTCTCAAAGGTTTGTCACACAAACTGCGCTTTCCTGTATTTTACCTGCAAACAAAGAACAAAGACCAAACCAAGGAAGAAGAAAATTGTGAAACTTCTTCCTGTTTAGAAATTAAAGCTTAGTTGACTGGAGTGTTTATTAATATCCCCTATTCCCACCAAAATCCAATTTAAACTGTTTGCAGAATATTCTGGGGCTAAGCTGCCAGGCACTGCCGTTGGAGGCCGGAATAGATGGGGCCAGACCATCATTCCCCTCCTAGCTCGGATGATTGTGTACCGATTCAGAGGAACACGAAATAATGTCACCAGATCCATGAACAGCTTGTAACATGGGTACTCAATTGGGCTGCCTATTTGTTTGATTTAGTAAATTCCCCTCTCTCTGCTTTTATACACAGTGACCTAAAAAGAAATATTGTTCCCCAGAGTGCCTTTGGGACTGTTTGTTTAAATTAAGTTGCATTTGGATTTAATCTTAACCAAATCTTTGGAGAGCCAAGAAGGCTTCCTGTAATGAAGTGTGGAGCACGTGAACCAATGAGAGAAGCTGCCAGACTGGGAGGCCTCCTCCCTAAGCAAGGGGGCTTCGTAATGTCACACTTGGGTGGCACAAGCGGAGTGCTGGATGATTAGTTTATGGTCTAGATCATTGTATTTTTATTACACTCATAAAATCTGTGTTTTCCCTCATTTTCGTAATGGCTTCAATGAGCATCGCTACCTTCTGAAGGCACATTAAATTCTTATGTGATGGAAGTGCCAATTGGGCAGAGCAGGTTTGAAGGCCTCAAAAGCTTAAAGTAAGAAACATGTTTCGAATTCTCATCTTGTTGTTGGATGGGCACTAAGGAAAATGGGAGTGCATAAGTTTGAGCATGATTCATATTTGTTTGTGGACTTTTTTGTGTATAGTTCAGTAGGTTTTGTTAAATTCTGGTATAAATGATACACCATGAGGTGCCTTAAGGGTATGGACTATTTCCATCATGTGGGAATATAAATCAATATTAAAAGAAGAAAATATTGTACAGATGTCTGACTTTTTTAAAATATGATTTAAAGGGAAAATTTAGTCACATGAACTATGATGAGAAAGCATTGTTATATTGTAGATGCATGAATTTTTTTAATAACAAGATCCTAATTGGATTTTTATAGCTGTTTTTAGAAGAAATAAAAGCCTCTCTTTTATGATAACAAATTTACATCTAAATGCAATTGCTTATAAATATTTCTGTGAAGCTAATGTAACCCGTTGCAGAAAAGGAACACCCCTTTCCCTCTATAATTTAATATGCTAATAAAAGTCTACAAATGCCACATCAGTGGACCCCACAGGATTACTGATTTTTGGTAATTGTGTTGCAAGTATGAATATGTGACTTAGAGCCACAAAGTTACAAGTTGTGTTGGCAAAGAAGTCGAGTTGGAAGACCTTTGTGTCACTGTCATTGCTGTGTGTTTAAACGTGCGTTCACGAGTTAATTGTGTCTTAGAGCTGTTTATATTATGTCCGTTACAGATTGGTAAATCAGTTTGGAATTTGCCTTCATTTGAATAAGGGTTGTGATATTTTGGTGTAAGCAAATGAAATTCCAGCAGTAAAATGTAGCTCTCTGTGATGTACTTTGAAAAGAACCCTTCCAGAGCCAGCTTCTGATAGGATAGCAGCTTCACAAAGCAAACTGTCTCTCTAGTTATGCAAAATAATGACAGCCACCAGAAAGGGAGAGTGGCAACTGACTTCAGTTTCCGTGGCAAGGAGTAGTGAGCGGTTCATCACGGGCTCAGCCTGCCTACTGTCTGTTTTGTGTTGCATTATACAAAGTTTCCTTTACAGATCGAAAGTTGGGAAGGCAAACAGCTGAACACAGAATGAGGAGGTTTTAAAGGGCATGGAATGAATTTGCTGGATTTTTTTTTAATATTTCATGGAACATGCAAAATATGGGTCCGGCGTATTCAGAGATGTGCACGCAGCTGCAGAGTGAACGTGTTTAATGAAAATGAAATAAATTTCCTGTGAATGGAATAAATTTGGACTGTTTCTGAGTGCAGTAATTATACATGTCAGGCAGTGATGAGATAGTCATGCCGTGGCCACGGGCCTTTCTTTGTCTGCAGATGGTGTGGGAGAGCGGCTGTGTGGTCATTGTCATGCTGACACCTCTCACGGAGAACGGCGTCCGCCAGTGCTACCACTACTGGCCAGACGAAGGATCCAACCTCTACCACGTCTATGAGGTACTTAGACAGAAGGAACTGCCTTCTTGGGGCGAGGAGCACACACATCCCAGTTCTCGTCTGAGTAAATCAGTCAGGTCACCAGCAGTCTGGCGGGTGCCCTTAAGAGGCTGGAGACAGCCCCATACAAGGGAGGGTCAGCGCCTCCCAGCCTTAGAGGGGTGAGGGCTGAGTCACCCCCGAGGGCCACGTTGCCAGGAGAGACTCTAGTGCTTCATGGTCATGGACTTGACCTACGTACACGGTGTGGTTTTCATTTTTTTAATCGTATAAATCCAAATGCTGACAGAATCGAAAAAAAGTATTTACCTCACAGCGTGGTCCCAGTCCCATAGAACAGACCTTTAAGTGGGGTCTATATTTAAAAAGAACCCTGCTCCTCATCTAATTGCTTATTGATTTCATGGCCTGGGCCGCGTGGTCCTCCCATGGCTGTTTGGAGTTCTGTATCTGCACCATGTGACCCTTTCATTTGAGAGTAACCTGCTGACACGTTTATTTCCCTTGCTAGATTTGCTACCCACATCAAGAGTGAACTAAATAAACTTGGGCATTTAAACAAGCACAAGAATCCATCTTTTGATTGTGCTTTGCATTAAATTAGGCAGAGTGCCAAAGGCCCACACGGTAGGAAACATGTTGGAAGCTTAAACATGAAGCCTGAACCACAGTTGTGGCTTTAGGATCACTGGAAATGGACTTAACCGTGAGAAGTGACTGCGTTCCAGCCACTCGGTATATCTACATGGATCTTTGGTTTTTCTCGTTCTGTATCCAGGTGTACACCATCTGTGATAGAGTTTAGGGTAGGGCCATTTAGTAGATCACATATTTGTGTTGGTGGTTGTGTTGATAAGCGTAATTTTTCTCTGGTTATTTTTCTTGAGGGCTTATATGGTTAGAAATACAACTGGGATAGTTTTGGATTGTAACATATTTTTTAATTATTTGACTATCAAGCTCCTAAGTCACACACACACACACACACACACACACACACACACACACACACACACACACAGCTGTCTTTCACATAAGCTATGTTAAAATTGAGAAGGTGGGAGGGGGCTGTTAAACCGGGTCACTTCTCTGCTATAAAACTTGTACCCTCCTCTCCCAGAACGTAGCTCTGTGCTCAGGGATGTGTGAGATTCATGATGTCCATGCCTATCTCTGTTTCCCTTTCCTTCTCCCCTCTCGGTCCAGGTCAATCTGGTCTCTGAACACATCTGGTGTGAGGATTTCCTGGTGAGGAGCTTCTATCTGAAGAACCTTCAAACCAACGAGACTCGCACCGTGACCCAGTTCCACTTCCTGAGTTGGTATGACCAGGGGGTCCCTTCCTCCACAAGGTCACTTCTGGATTTCCGCAGGTATGACAAAGAACCCGCTAGCTGATTAATGCATTCAGAATGTAGATGTCGGAAAGAAGGGGGCGTGATTTAGTGCCAGATTTCCTTGTTTCTAAGATGCCACCAGCTTTGAGATTTCCCATCTGTGTCATCATTGGAAAGGGAAGGAAAGAAAAGGGCAAGAAAGGGAAGAAAAGGCAAGAGGAAAGAGGGTTCTATTAACTGCACATTTTAATTGTGAGATCTTTTCTAGTTTCAGAGATGTCAAAATGTGAGGGGGAAATAGGCATCTTAGAATTGTGGAAATATGGTCGTTATTTTTTATAAGACTCTTCAACTGATGAAGAGTCCTAAAGTTTCCATTTCACAGGATATTGATGAATAAAGCTCAGATTTGTAGTTTGGATACTCAGCTGGTTGCGTATGATGATATTAACAAGTGTAGGCCCAGATTCTAAAATGGATAATCTTAGATGAAAGCTTGGCTATAGTTAGCACATGACTGTATATATTTTTAGTGCTATTTTGAAACTGACAGTTTAAAAAAAAAAAACTTCCAGATTTTGTTCATTGCTCTAGTCAGCCAGTCACCCAATACATGGTGTAGTTTTCAAGTGTATTTCTTGGACTGTTGAAATGAATGCTAGACTCTGTCTTCCAGGAGGAAATTGACTGCAAAAAAAACCCAAAATTTGAGACTGATGTTTTGATTGTACATCATGCTTGGTAATAAAACAGTTGGTTTGCCTTAGCTATTCAATGGTGGTAATTGAATACACAAATACAAGGAAAATGAAACCACTCGCTGAACATCTATAACCAAGTTTTGAATGTTATAGACTGTCTCTTCCGTTTAACTGAGTAGAAATCTACCTGCTAAGGAAAACAGATAAATATCCAAGCAAAGAATTAGAGAAAAAGAATAAAATGCATTTTAATCCAGCATTATACACTATCAGGAAGTGATTTGTATCTGAACGGTTATGCATCCTTGGGTCTACAGTTATGAAATTCGAGGGAGGTTAAAAAGGCAAGTGATGTGGGGTTTTGAATGTGTATGTTACAGATTCTGAAGCTTATGATGATACTGTTTCTTTTGCCTTTTAGTCTACCTTGAAAAGCAAACTAAAACTTTTTTTTAAAATGGATTAGTCTTTGAATCAGCTAGCATATGAAAGAGCTTCTCCAAAACGACACACAAATTTGGTGTCACATCACAATGTACACTCAGTGGCCCCTACCTGGTAGATCACCTCCCCTGAGGACGCAGAGTGTGGATCCAAAACACATCCTAAGGCAGCTACTGTCTACAGTTCCTTCCTAATCTACCCTGATTTTTTGACTATTGAATACATTTTTTCAATGCAAATTTATTTCTAGAGACTGGCTATGCAGAAATCTTACATAATTTTCTAAATAGGGTCTTCAAAAAGCAATCATTATTGGCAACATAGATGTAGTTTCAAAGATAGCAGTTCACCACCACACCAGTCCTTATGCACATCCAGTGTGTTTGTGCATATATGCATATGGGCACATTTCCACACCCATATCCATATATGGAAATGAACATCCATGTCACCCACCCTTCATGTTTACAATTCATCATGAAGAAAAATTGGACTCCCAAATTCCCCTTGCTCCAGGGTCTAGGGAGATAGGGCCTAAGATGGTTTGGGCTAAATTAAAAAGAAAATGAACCCCGAACATAGTTTTGAAAGTCCCATCAGGACAGAAAGCTTTTCTTGCCTGCCTTAGCTGGCACCACCCGGGTTTCGGCCGATGCTGCCTTCCTAGTGTGACCTGGACAGTTGGCTTGGATGAGCACATTCTGAGAATGCTTCATACTTACACACACCTTACTGGTAGGAGATTTCCTGTGCAAAATAGCCATCCAAATTTCAGCACCTGGCAAGGGGAAACAGCTTCTGAAGACACCGGCCGTTTTCATGCTGCAGGGTATCACAGGTTCCTCATCCTTGAACAATAGGCTGGAGTTCTCACTCTGGCCTGGTGTGTTCACCAGGCATCGAGATGTGTCATTAAATATTTCTGGAGCCCAGAGGGAACACATTTACACTTTAAAGAGAAACTGCTAAGAGATAATTAGCATCACATGTGAGGGCTTTGCTTTAAAAACTTCTCTCTCTCTCTCTCTCTCTCTCTCTCTCTCTCTCTCTCTCTCTGTCTCTGTCTCTCTCTCTCTCTCTCTCCCTCTCCCCGTCCCCCCCTCCCTGTCTCCCTCTCTCCACTCTTCCTCTGTCCCCTCCTCTCTGTTATCCTCTCACTTCTTGCTGTGTGCAATGGCATTCACTAACGCTGCTCATGGTAAAATGGACAAACCCTTACTTTGCCAGCTAATTAGCGGTGGCCAGTGTCATTTTTGTGATGTTGCAGCTAGTAATATGAGCCCAGTTGCATAGTCACAAAAGTGATCATTGGAAACTGTGACTGCACTGCAGGGACAATGTGGGAAGCCCCTTTTCTGAGCCTCTAACGACCTCTGACCCTGCTTGCTGTTGGTTTGCATGACGGTTCGTTCTTACTCAGTGACCCGTGGGTTGGTTTGTATTACTAATCGTTCTTTCTCAGTGAATTCCTTCTGTCGAAGTATATCTATAATATCATTTTTTCTCAATGCTAGAGACCTTGTGCTTACTGATGATTTGTTCTAATAGAGTAAAATGAGACAGCTGTGTTCTGCTCGCCCTCATGAATAATCCAGTCTACGTCTTAGGTCCACCGGATGAACACTTGTGTTCAACATGTCATGGTTTTGCTTCTCTATTTGTGATGTTTCGCCTGTAATAATACAAGTGCATGATTCTTTGTAAATAAAGTTCTAAACCACACCACCATCCTGTATCTACACTGCACGTCTCCTTGATTACTCGTGGTTGTTTGTAAACAGGTTGAGCTCAGGGCAGGGGCTGGGGCGGGTAAGGAAATTACAGTGAAACCTTCCCAAGGCCTTCCAGGGCAGACAGCATGACACGTTGGAGAAAGTCGTGTCTTAAAAACACCATAAGATGAAGACAGGCATCTCAGGGGTGGGGAAGCAGACCACAGCCATTGTAGCCAGAAATTCCCTTTTTTTAGCGACATGTCTTTGCCAGAGAGGTGACTATTGCATTTTGCCAAAAGGTACTAACCAGCTGTAAATGAAATTCAATCATTCTAGAGATCTCTTACATTTATGCTTTCTCAAACCAGTTTCTAAAGATATCTTTTTTTTTTTAATGTACCCTTTTTTGCACTTTGACCCATCAGGATAAAAAATGAGCAACACTTGGTGACTGACCAGCATATGAACATGCAAACACTGAGTTTAATCTTTACAGACATAGAATGAATGTCAAGTACAAAATATAACAGAAAGTAGAAGGCGCCCAACTGAAGTCATTCACCTTAGCAAGATTCAGAGACTCAATAAAACCCTCTGTTTGATGGTAAAAGGCCTCTAAAAGTAAAGCCAACCAAGAATTGGTCTCACTGTTGTACTTGCTTGATTCTACTCATGCACACATATGTACACCCACACATGCGCACACCCACATGCATACACACATGTGCACATATACATAGTCTTTATTGAGCGAGTGGGCTTCCCATCCCTCACACCAAGAAGTGCCCTTGAGATCCAGCATCTTTTGTGTCATCAGTAGTTCACCATGCTTCACAACCTGAGTCAGGAATGGGAAACTTTAGAAGTAGAAATGAGTGGATCTATTTTCCAGTCTGTTTATTGTCCAAGGACCGAGGACCTTTAAGGCATTCTGGCATACAAGTGCTGCTGATTTTAAGGAGCTTGCATTTACGTTCTCCGCCTCTCCCCACAAACCAGAAGCAATCCAGGCTTCACAGAAATGGCGACATGGCCGTGAGGGCACTTTCTGGTTTTACCCACATTTCTGAGCCTGCTCCATCTTTCAGGCATCTCTGTGTGGTTCATAAAATGCTGCATCTTTGCAGACAGGAGAGCAGCTCAGATCAAGTGCTGCCCTGCATGGGCTGTGACTGTGGCCACGTGTGGGTAGGCGCAGGCTGGGGGTTCAGACTCATGACAGAAGGACCTCATTCTATTAACTCCATGAAGGAACAAGCAAAAAAGAAGGAGAGAAATTCTGATATTGGGTCTGCAAGGTATCCAAGTTTATTGGTCATTGAGTACTTACTCCCCCACCCTCCACCTTGCCCCTTTGGGCTTCGAAGGTCAGTTGGCACAGCAACCCGTTGATGGAATTTTCACTTTCAATTCTTTCAGTACCAAGTAGACTTTGCAAAGAAATGTGACATTTTCCCATCTCTGGTCCATACTGTCATTTTTCGTAAATTTTAATTTGTGGCTGATATTGTAGGAGTTCGCACAGCACAAGAGAATACATCATTTTCACACATTTTTTTCTTTCAATAAACTGTCTCTCTTTTTATTCAGAAATATATTATTGAGAACTTTGATGTACTTTGTAAACATGTTTAGTTGTTTCACTGAATGAAAAAAATTACTTGGAGCTTACACTGTGAATTTTAAATCAGCCCTCTGTTTTGATGCAAGAATTGGTTAGGGAATCTTAAATATATGCTCATTGTTAACTTTCATAACTTCTGACCTAAAATCTGTACAACGAGGTTGTTCTTAAGTGTACTCAAATTTATAAAAATAGAAAAGACTTGTCTTGGACTTAATTGAAGTTTCTCCATAATTTAGATATCTTACCAAAAGTTGACTGAACAGAAATGCTCCTTAAGATGCTATTTTTAGAAACATGGTAATATTATATTCCAATATGATGTCTAAACTGTAAAAGACTATGAGCGTAAATTCGCAAAACTCAAAAACTTTAGTAAAGAATCTTGAAGGCCCTCATGTCACAACATAGGGTCAGATCAACAAGCAAAAACAGAAAGGGGGCGCCCGGGGAAGGCAGAGCAGGCGGAGGGTCCATTGACCAGAAGCCTGGACTTCATTCTTGTGTGGGGAAAAACAAAATTGTGAAAGTTTGATAGTTGTTTTTAAAGCTGTTTAATAACTTAACTTTGAAAAGAAAAATAAATCTTTGAAACTGTGTGTGTAATTTTGATTTTTTTTTTTTTTTTGGTCAAAAAAGGCTGATCGCAAAGTGACTTCAAAGATACAAACTTTTTGCTTTGGCTTATTAGCTATTTGGAAAACATAGAGTCTTAGTACATGACCATAATCTTTATATTTCTTTTTATTTCAGAAAAGTAAACAAGTGCTACAGGGGCCGTTCTTGTCCAATAATTGTTCATTGCAGGCAAGTACAACTTTTAACATGGATTAAGACTTCCTTCTGCCTCAAAAAAAATCTATACAATTAAATATAGAAGTTAAACTTTCTAATTGCTTAGTAAATATAATGTAACTGGCATTTCTAAAGGAAACCAAAGATATGAACTGAATTTTTTGTGCCATTTGGGGAGATAAAATGCATGTTCATTTTATTTTACCTGTATAAACTGCATATGCTATATTTCCTTTCTAGCAGCCCACTGTACTGTGTACTATAGTCTATTTCCAAATGTTCATGTTCTTCCACCTTATTTTTTTAAACGCTATGATGCCATTGCACACCAACTTTGAGACACTATTTTTGACCTATCACATTGTCTCAGCCACCAGTATATTTTGCAGAAGCTTGGAGCCCTGTACAGATGGTGAGAAATGCTTGGGGCCACTTATGAGCAAAATCTGTAATTACAAGAGGTGCAGCCACCTCCAGTTTATTCTGAGTCCAGGCCTTCGGGTGAAAATTCAATGACTCATATCCTTAAGTAGGTTAAAACCACACCAGTGAGAATAGGTCCACTCAAAGAACTCAGTCTAATGATACTATTCCTGTTGGACTTGATACTCAACTAATTTTGGTAAAGAACTCATACTCCATTTTTCTAGAACTGCCTTATAGAATTTTTTTTCTGCCTAGACTAAAAGGGAAATCTGCCTCCAAAGATCAAACACTGAATCTGCCCATTTAATTAACGTGTGGGGGGGGTCATTTGGAATGAACAGGAAGATTAGAGAGTGTGTCAGGCTGGCCGTTTCTCTTCGGTAAAGATGCAGGGAAAGTGCATGTAGTGTGTATGTGAAAGTACAATGGGTAAAATAGTTATCTGAAGCTTTTTTCAGCCATTTGTTTGAGGAAACATGTTGAAGCCCAGATGCAACAATTCTTTACTCTCAAAAGATCAACCTCTAGGCTTAGCAATGATTTCTTGGGATTATAGGCCAGCATAGAAATCAGAAACTGAAAGCATAATGATCTATCAGGTAGTCACGTAATTCTTGAAGTCAGAAACATTTTTTCCCCTTCAAGTCACAATTGTTTTTGCTAGGAGTATAAATGTAAAAAGTTCTCCACTTAAAAGCCAGTCGTGGATGTGATAACACACCCTATTTGCTTTGAAGAGGGTCTGTCAAACTCTCATTACTCCATGACAACATCTACGTGGGGGAATGAAATGGTTTCACACATTCCTTATGGGAAAAGGATGATGCTGCGGCTATGTTTCTCCCAGAAAAGGAATTTTCTTTCTTGTTTTACTTGCTATTGTTGAGGTATAATTCAAACATTTTTACAACTCTAGCCCAGATGGTAAATATTCCAATTATAGCTAGTGGGATGAGAAAGAGATGAAACGAATGCTTTTTAAAGGATATGATTAAGTAATGAATGATACATGTATCTCTCCTTCTGAGAGGAAGGAGACATTTTAAAGGGTGAACAGGCAACCCGGAATGATGTGCCCCCAGTGCACCTGCCTGTGTGAGCCGGCAAAGCCCAGCTGCCCGGCAGCCCCCCACTGGCTGGGCGAGGGTTATCGCAGGGAAAGAATCTCACAGATACTTTGGATACAAATGCTGTCAACGCCGACTCAGTCAAACATTTCTTCACTTCATTTTTTTATGACAAAATTTACCACATCTTTGACCAAAGGGGCCGGGGGAGGAAGAAAGAATCAAATCTGAAACACAAGAGCTGATCCCCATGAGCTGCCGGGGAGGCTTAAAGCACCCTCCATTCCTTCCCTCCATCCCCACCCTTGTGCGTCTTCCCAACCCCATGGTCCTTCCTCTGATCTTGCATCCACGACCCTCCTTTCCTCACTCTGGCCCCACTTAAGCATGAAGGAGAGTCGGCTGTTGCTGGCTTTGCTGTGCATCGTGCCTCCCTGTGGACGGCCACGCTTTCACCTCTCTCTTCTGTTGGCAGTGACGGCGCGGGCCGGAGCGGCACCTACGTTCTGATCGACATGGTTCTCAACAAGATGGCCAAAGGTGAGATGCAGACGCCACCGCTGCTTTGTTGTGGCTCAGAGCCCCATGACGTTGCCATGGCAATGTGGGGTGCGATGTGCACAGGAGGCCTTGGAAGGAATTAGCTGATGCTTGTCCCTTTCCTGAATCATATCACAGTGGTTTGCAGCAAGCATGTTTACTTCAAGGTTTGTCCTTTGTTTTTCATCTCTGTGTGCTTAGCACACAGTAGGTCCTTGATAAGTATTTATTGTATACATGACAGTCACATCAGAACCCAGGAGAGTGCAACCTTTGGATCTTTTTTTTTTTTTAGATTAGAAAATATAGTTCATTTAAAAACTAAATTAGAGAGAGAGAGGAGATTCACCTTCCCAGGGTAGGAAAGGGGGCCAAAGCCAGGAAACATGGCAACGGCCGTGACTCAAAGAGCACAGGGCCACACCAGAGTCTAATAGGGCAGTGGCCTGGGTATTTCAGTGTTGTAGCAGCTCAGAATCTCTTTGAATCATTTTGCATAATTCTCACTATGATTTATGTTATATTTGCAGAATATGATTTCATTTTCATATTAGAATTACAGTAAACATCTCTGGTGGTCATGGCCACCAAATAGAAATCACCTTATCTCAAACAAACCTCTTAGCACTCCTTTGTAACATTTGTTTTTTAATCTAAGGAAATCTCTGTTTGCATTGGTGGGATTTTTTTAATCTCAGAGACAGCGTAGGGTGTCTCAGACCTGAAGCATCATAGGATGAGAAGGATCTGTAGAAAGCACAAGTCTGGTGGCCCTGCGTGCAGACCAGACCTGAGAGTGGGGCCCAGTTAGTTCTACTGACCAAGAGCTTATCACTTTAGACAGAACTTTCAACCTCTCTGGGCCCAGCTTTCCCCTACGAAAGTGTGAGGATCGAGCTAGCTGGCATTTCTCAGAAGGTGGTCTACAGAATGCCAAGCTGTGAGGTAATCTCTTTAAAACAGAGGCCAGAGAGAGGGTCCCATAGCCGAGTGAGTGTGAGGCAAAGGCCCTGTGGGGGAGAGAAACATGCCCAGCTTTCTCTGATCCAGCATTTCCTAAGCTTATTCAAAAAGACATTTCATTTTCCTTGTAATACCTGCTACTATCCAACGGAATTTGGGAGACACTGGGATGATAACTTCTCATGGTCTCTTTCCCACCTGTGAATAAATCATTCTCTCTATGTCAACATACACACACAGATATGCATCTGTATGTGCTTATGCAGGGACCTCCACCTTCCAGAACATTCCATTCTTCATCCTCTGCCCAGTGACAGGAGCAGACACTGATTATAGAACGGGTTTCAGCTGGGCATGGTGGCACACGCCTGTAGTCCCAGCTACTCGGGAGGCTGAGGCGGGAGTATCACTTAAGCCTCAGAGTTTGAGGCTGTGGTGGACCATGATCATGCCACTGCACTCCAGCCTGGGCAACAGAGGGAGACCCTGACTCAAAAAAAAAAAAAGAAAGAAAAGAAAAGACAATACAGGGGGAAAGTGCCACTAAACATCTGGAGCCAGACCCAGAGCTCTGCACCCCACGCCTGCCTGATGTCTCTGGCTTCCTTTGCTGGCTGCTGGGGAGAAAAGGAAATTGGTTTTGTACCATTCAACATTGTTCTAAGCACCCCAAATTAGCTCAGTGGTAAGATGTACAAACAAACATAAAATGCAAACACTCTGATGTTCCTTCAATAACATAGCTTTTTAGATGTAGCATAATTCTAACTTTCTCTATTAAAAAGATGCATGTTTCAGATATACCCTTTCCTTTGCAAATTTGCGGTTATTAGAGGTCAGAGCTATCCATAGAGCTGTTTCTTCCTTTATCACTAGCCCTCCCTTCTTCCTCTCTCCTATGCATAAATATTTTGCTTCTATTACACCAAAATACTGACAGAGCAGTACAGATCATTTTACTGAAATGTTTCCTATCACACCTGTGTTTGTAAACATGATGACATGATAAACCACTTGGTACATGTTTCAGATGGAACTTGCTCCTCCCCAAGGAAGGGGGACCGCAGGTGGCACAGATGCTCATGACTTCAGTGTTTGCCCATGCTGAAAGAATCGTGCCCGGGTTCTAAGTGGCACAGGTTTGCTCCTCAGAGAAGAAGACCTTAGGATTCTGGCACTGGGGGAAGGGGAGGACAGGGCTGACGGTATTGTCCAAGCACCGAAGCATGCCATTTACTGGTTCCATTGTACCATGTAATGTCAAATTCCATTTTAAGCGTGGGCTCAGTGCTCAACAATACGCACCCAGCCATGTGGAACTGGCCAGAGAGGGCAGGCTCTGGGTTTTTTCTGAGCTTGGTCAGCCCCCTTTCTGTTCTTGACCTGCTCCCCTTCCCCCGGTGGGGTGTGCGGTGTGAAATCCTCTGACCCAGGGCCCTACCAGGCTGTGGTCTCGGGAGAGATCAAAGGGCAGGGTGGCCCCTCGCCGGCGAGGTGGGCCCTTCCCAGGCCTCCACACTGAGAGGCGCCAGGGTTTTGTTCTGGCAGGCTGGGCCCTGCCTGTGCGGCCGGGCGTCTTTGTCTGGCCTGAGAAGCTGAGGCCCCCATGGCAGACCCAGTGTTCCTCAGATGATCAAAGGCCCAGAGCCCTGGACATGCAGCCTTTCTTTCCATTTCCCTTTCTTAAGAGGAATGAATTGCAAGGACCAAAGAACGCTGCCCCGTGCAGCCAGCACTGAAGGGGGAGTCCTCCAGGGCTTCAGCCTCGGCGTGCCTGCAGCTGCACCCAGCTGCAACCCAGACGGCGTCAGCAGCACTTGTCTCCAAGGCCTTTCAGGGATTAAGGCCTTCGGGCCTAGTTTAAGGGCCTTTAAGAATAAACTTGGAATAATTTAAGCTCTTTCTCTACTGTCTAGTTTAGTAGCAAGTAGACAGTAATGCAGTTTGAAATCAAAGCAAACAGGCTTATGCTCTGCAAAGGATTTTGTGGCGGGAAAGTAGGCACCAATCTGTAAAACACTTTTGCACGTTATTTCTGTTGCAATGGACGTGTCTCTCACGCCTCAGTAATATATTGCATCAGAATTCACTTTAGATTGTTGATCCTTTCTCGCTTGATGGGCTTAGCTGACACAGCAAAGAATGTTTTTTCAGCTGAGATATTTTCCACGGTTGTGCTCTTTTTACTTGTGACATCGCTTTACCTGGGTTTGTTTTTGTTTTTTTTTTCTAGTTCATGACAGGTTTTGGGGGGTTTTTGTTTTTGTTTTTGTTTTTTGAGTCAGAGTCTCACTTTGTCACCCAACCTGGAGTGCAGTGGCACACTCACAACCACTGCAGCCTCCACCTGCTGGGCTCAGGCGATCCTTCCATCTCAGCCTTCCAAGTAGCTGAAGCCACAGGCACGCACCACCACACCCGGCTAATTTTTTGATTTATTGTAGAGACGAGGTCTCACCAAGTTGCCCAGGCTGGTCTTGCATGCCTAAGCTCAGGCAATCCTCTTGCCTCCACCTCCCAAAGTGCTGGGATTACAGGCATGAGCCACTGCACCCAGCACCATCACAGTTTTTTTAAAGCATGGAGAGCACCTAGCAAATAATGGAGTTTCCCAAAGGTCACAGTGACTAGGTCACCTTGAGTGGCTGGGCCCTGCTGGTCTGGGGCTAAGCCTCACCCAGGAGCCAGCCCAACCCTAGCTGCTGAGAAACATGGCCACATATACAGCGTTATCCCATGAGGATCTCTGGGCAGAAGGGGCATCCGTAAGGCCTCCAGATGCCGTGGAGGCTTTGCTGAGGAGACACAGCCCAGCCTCCCGGTGACTGCTGTGTTCAGAAGGCCCCAGGGTGTGTTTGAGGGAGACCTGTTACTTTTGTTTGGCAGTGGCTGCAGCCTGGGAGCTTCATTTTCCACTGAGTCACTGGCTCTTGTTATCCCATGTACTGGTTTCACAGCCGTGAGTGTGGACAGATGACTAGGTGCCCATGTGACCATATGTCCAGCACCAGGTTTTCAGCCTCAGTAACTAGATCTGTGTTACTGTTTTCCTGCCACACAGTGTATACACACATAAGCATCTCCTTGATAAGGATCCCCATTTCACCTTGTTTCTGCGATTTGACTCTTTTAGGGACCTCATGTAAGTGGAATCACAATAGCTCCCCCTTTGCAACAGGCTTATTTCCCTCGGCTTAATGTCCTCAAAGTTCATTCATGTTGCGGCCTGTGTCAGAATTCTCTTCCCTTTTCTGTTGTTTATCCTTTCACCTACTGGTAGACATTTGGGTTGTTTCCACCTTTTGGCTATTGTGAAGCATGCTGCCATGAATGTGGGTATGCAAATATCCATTTGAATCCCTGCTTTCATGTCCTCTGGATGTGCACCTAGGAGTAGAAGAGTTGGATCAAAAGTAATTCTATGTTTTCCTCTTTGAGGATACCCAAAATTGTTTTCCACAGTGGCTGTACCATTTTACATTCCACCAATGGTGCAAAACGTTTCCAACATTTCCAGGTACTCACCAACACTTTTTATTTTCCTTTTTTTAAAAATTATGATTGCCATCCCAATGGGTGTGAAGTGGTATCTCATTGTGGTTTTGATTTGCATTTCCCTGACAACTAGTGATGTTGAGCATCTTTTCACATGCTTATTGACCGTTTGTATATTGTCTTTGGAGACATGTCTATTCAAGTTATTCGCCCATTGCCAAACTGGGCTTTTTTTTAAATTGTTGAGTTGTCTAAGTTCCTCATATATTCAGAATATCAATCCTTTATTATATATATGATTTGCAAATATGTGTATTCTATTATGTATATTGCCTTCTTATTCTCTTGATAGTATCTTTTATTCCACAAAAGTGTTTAATTTTGATGAAGTCCAGTTTATCTTTTAAAATCCTTTCTTTTGTGACCTGTACTTTGAGTGTCATATCCAAGAAATCCTTGCCAAATCCAAGGGCATGAAGATTTTCTCCTGTGTTTTTTGTTTGTTTGAGTCAGGGTCTCACTCTGTCATCCAGACTGGAGTG